CTTCTTCATAGCCGTTGCAGAGGCAGGTGGTTAGAGGGTGTGCCGGACAGATGTTGCACACTGCTGCAGTAACTGTGAGACTAACTAGTGTGGATCTTTTCTTTTTTGCTTTTTTTTCCTAAATTAGTTTTTAAATTTGCTTCTTGTCCAACACAAGGAAAAAATCTACCACATTGTGATTCATACAGGCAGTGAAAGTTTGCTTTGTGTAAACTGAGGAAACAGCTTTAAAACTGAAATCTTGTAAAGAGGGGTAGGAAACAGATTGTAACCTAGCTCAGGCATATACAGTTTCACTGATGGACACAAAGCTTGGCAAACACCTTAATCCAATCCTAGCTAGCGGAGCTTGAGTGCTGGGAATCTGTCAGGAGGTTGGGCCCCGTGATGATTATCAAAGCTCCTCAGCATCATGCAGCCATAAGGGCACAGCTGACAGCTTGACTAGGTCCATGGCAAATGCAATTTTCTGAAGTTTTACTACAACTCTGCCACTGTTACTGTGACTAGTCGCATCCAGGTGCTGCCAAGAAAGAGGAAAGAGGAACATTGTAACACAATCCCAAATATGCACAGTGAAAAGCTTACTAAGACTTTGCACAATAACATTTTTAGGTTCTCTAAATGGACAGGTATAGAATAATTTGAAATAGGTATGTATGATCAGCCATCATCACTGCAGAGTTATGAGGTTTTTTTAAGAGGAAGCTGGAGGAATTTGCTGGTGGTAGGCACCATTAGAGAACAAACAAACCCCACATGTATAACAATTACATATGTTGCAGTAACACAAACAAGCATGCTACATGCTAATCAGGCTAAGGAGCAGCTCTTTTTACCAACTTCAACGTGCTATTTGTTGTGTTCTTCATAGGGTATATAAATACAGATTTGATTCCATTCACCGCCAGCCCTGCATCTAAGTAAGGGTCTAAACACAGCTAGCAACAGAACCAGGATGCTTTACTGATGAACATTACTGATGAACTAACCCTACTAGGGAAAAGTGAAATACTTTTTTTAGTTTTGAGATTTAAAGGCCAAATTCAATAAGCTTGATACTTGCTAGATATGTGTCCTTTAAAGATGTTAATATAAAGATTAAAATCATTTTTTGGGGAAGGAGGAAAGCTGTATCACAGTTATTTTCTACACTAAAGCCAAAATATCAACTTTTGCAGGAATTTGTCTCCCTCTCTGATACTCGCAGCAGCTTGGCACCTCTGCCCTCCAGTGTGCTATTCCTCTTTTTCCACATGAATTGCCAGCATAATCATAAAACCTAATGGTCGACTGTTATCAACACTTGCATTGCCACACAACGAAATATGAAGAAAAATCTGAGAGAAAACCTGAAATGAAGCTGCTTAAGAATGACCAAATAAATATATTTACTCTGAAAAATACTCCAGCTTTGGCATAATTAGCTAATTAAGCCACAGTCAGTATAATTATCTACTTTTAGAGAGAGTGTATGAGAAAAGCAAAGCATAAAGGTGAAACAAACAATATTGCATTTTAGTGTAAAAAAAAAAACAAAAAAACAAAAAAAACCAAACCAAGCCAAACCATAATAAAACAAAGCAAAACAAAACCATTACTGTAACCTTAGATGCTTCCATTAGACAGAATTTGTATAGCACAAATTCTAGCTTTCTCTTCACCCCACTCCAGACTGGTGCTGTTCACCCTGAAATGGGACTTATTATCTCTATTGTTGCTTTTTCCCAGGCACAAATCCTGCTCATAGAGTTGATTCCATCCCCTCCCTTGCAAGCTGTCCTTCACCTCAAAAGGTCTTAGTATTAAAAGGGAAAGAATGTAAACAACTAGATACACATTTAGTCTTGTGTCCTTAGCATGCTTTGTCCCCCTAAGCAAATCACAAGTGCCAAGCATGCATGTGAGGTGCTTCTGCACTGTTTTGTTCTAGCAAGGAGATTGCAGCTTTACTAGGGCCACTGAGGATGCCACAGAGCTGCAAGAGAGCATGCAAAAGAGGAGGCACAGAGAGGTGAGCCCATTTCACTCCTCCTCCCCACTGCTATAGCCAAACTTTGGCAGAAGCAGCAAATTCCTCCCCACAGCAGTCTTCATCCCACGGAAGCAACAAGGGTGGACAGAAGGTAATGATATGTCCTTCCCCTGGAGTAACTAAGCTGAAATTCTTTCTCCACATAAGTTGGCAGGACTCAAACTCTCTTGGATGCTGCTGCCCCAACCTTGTTTTCAGTACAATATGCTGGGAGGCTCAGAGCACAACCATTGCTGCCAGGCATCCTTCTCATTCTGCAGCAGCCTTCTGGAGAAGAGACGCAGACATCCCCACCCTCCCAGCACCGGCAGAAGGACTGAATCATCAAACCCATCTCTCTGAGGCAATCTGCCAGACGACAGAGCTGCTGGTGGGGTGCCTTGATGCTGTCAGCTATCCATATGTCTATTGGACAGCTACTGCCTGTGCAATCCCTACTCAGAAAAATTTAGAGCATGGTTGGGTATGTCTGCATGTGAACCAATTCCATCATCCAAGCCAATTAAATAAACAAGTAAAGAGTTTTTTTTTTTAAAAAAAAAAAAAAAAAAAAAAAGTTTGTCGCTGAATAAACAGCTCATCTATTTACTTTCTTGTCAACATGAACTAAACTATGACATAGTAAGTATATTACAAAATTTAAACCTGGGCAAATTCAAAATGATAGGAAGGGTAGGAGAGAGAGGGCAGGTGGGTGGATTCAGCACAAGTTAACACCTAGTGCTGGCTGACTCAAACTGTTCATCTCTGCAAATAAACTGATCTGTAAACTAAGAGCAGCTGAGCAGAGGGAGGTTACAACACAGCCTCACCATACAGGGAATTTCCAGCCTACCCAAAGCAAAGCAGTGGGTAAGAATTTTCCTATCAGAGGCACGAGGCTAGGTATGCTTCTTTCCTTCTTGCCCAGCACTCACATAGTCCACTTCGTTGTTCTGGCACAGAACTTATCTTGCTTCTGTTCTGCAACAAGATCTGCCAAAAACTAAAGCAAATTCTGACTTCTTTTCTAGGCAGTGTCGCTTTGTGGTATTGTCAAATACTCTGGGATCTAGCATAATCATACTGTAGCTCTGGGACAACAGCAGGGCTGTGACAATAGGGCAGATCAGCCTGCTCTCTGGACTTCGTCTCTGACTATGAAAATCAGAACATTTCATTTTAGTTTCATGATAGTTTGAAGGTTCCTTTAGATTGCAGCAGCAGCCTGTTACCCTCAGACAGGATTGGAGTACCGTTGTGTTTGGCACTGTTACAGATCATTATAGATTACAGGGTTGATGCCTGTACTGCCCTCTTATCAGACTTTGAAACAAGACATGACTAGGGGAAAAGGGTAATATGACAGTGAAATAGCCCATATCACTTTTTCAAAGACATCCATTACCTCACATTTTCTTTCTTCACCACCGGAAATTTGAGCTACCTTTTTGCTGTGTGCTTTTAAGAACAAAAAGGAATAAACGATTTCCTTGTAGCACAAGCCTTCATTAATATCTACAAGTACCATACTCAAAACATTACATGGAATATGAACCTGCTTTCTGCCTCAAGTCTTACAATCCTCGGCTTTCTGAAATCCTCCTCTTTCACCCTTCCCTGACCAGAGCACAAAGGTTGCTCACCACCACCATCCCAATTTAAGCCTCAGAACTTATTTAAATTAGAAACAAACATCAAATCACTTTGTACTGCGTGACTGGAGTGATTTTTCCTCACCTGGAGTGCATTTTCCTACTAGAGGTAAATCCAAAAATAGCTATAATCATACGAACTAAAGGTAATGAAGTGTTACTATATAGCTTATTCGATCTAGTGCATTCCTAATTTCTTTTATTTTTCCAGTGCCATATCTTTTTGAGTTCTAGGCTTTTCAAAAGATGAGTCTGAAGTAATTTCTCTATGGAAGTAAGCTGAATCATTGCTATCGTAAGTTAACCAGTGCAATCTTCATACAAAAAGATATACTCTTTCTGAAACAACCTTGGCACACAAGCTGAAAGCCTGGTATGAGAGAGAGAAGATGTAACAGGAAATTCAGAACAAAGAATTAGGTAGCTGAGTAGATATGGCAGTGAAATAAGGTTGGGCTGCTCTATGCACAATATTTTACATGTGTATACTCTGAAGATATCTGACATGGGCTGAGGAATCCTCTCTCTTCTGCTGGCTACAAGCTCACTAAGGAAAGGCATGTCTCTTATTTAGGATATCTATTGCCATAAGCATCTGGTCTTGACGCAATCCTGTAATTAATTATGGGTCATGACACCCAAGAAAGGCTTACTACCCCTTGGCTAAAAGGCAGCTTGCGTGCTGGCTGTCAGTTACTATTTAGTGTTTTGATTTATGTGATGAATCCTGGGTCTACCCAAAATGTTTTCTTCCACCTTCACTTTTCATGAAACCTGTTCATTTGTTCACTGTGTTCCTTTCTTCAAAGCAAAACTTATCCTTACTGGAAGTGGCATTTTCTATCAGTTAATGATGGGAAGACAAAGCAAATAACAAGGTGCTGGTCCTATTTTTATCCTTTTCAAAGACAGACTTGCCAGAAACAAAATTTGTAAAGCTGAATTCCTTTTTTGTAAGACTGTCCTGGGGGGTCAGTCTTCCTCTCAGGATGCACTTATGAGAATGGGATGGCAGGGCAAGTCGTGCAATCACACTGCATTCTTCTAAGGGCTTCATATTCTTAGAAAAAAGTATTTCTGAATATGATTAAAGGACATAATAGTGACATCTGGGCAACTTTCTCCTTGTCACAATGACAATGAAACACCGCTTATCCTATTTGTTTTCACTCTTTCCTGAGTTTTCTGATATTGCAACATTTTCCTTTTTACAGAATGGCTCTACAGTCCAAACCCTCTCAGAATTTCATTTTCATTATCCTTTTGTGGGCTGGGAGCCCCATGCTGTTATCAGACTCCACTGTTTTCATTGAATCTTTTCTTGTTTTTAGGTCCTGTTTTCACATCAGAACTTGAGCAGAATAAGGGAGATACCTGTGCTATCCTCATGAATCCTGGTTAACTCTACATCTGTCTCATGAATTTTAAGAGTCCTACATAAAATTCTATACACAAGGTATTGCGTGAAACCCAAAACAATACTGGCCTCAACTGCTCAGGACTGGAAGACCAGGAATGTTAGGAACCGGCTGCAGAAGAAAGTAACCTCTCCAAATACCTCCAGTATCAAAATCTAAATCAAAGACAGCTTTGAAATGGGTAAAAAGCCTTCTGATGACCTCAGAGGGGAGCTATAGTGGTCACACTCTGAGATCACTGATAGTTTTTTAACATCTCCTGAAAGGACTCAGATGTCAGCAAGATGAGGAATCAGTTAGAGTGGTGCACCACCTGGTAGTCAATGAAGCAGTGGAAAGACAGGAGCACTGTGAATCTGCTGCAGACACCACCCGTAGAAGTTAGACACCAAGTGGGGCATCCTGCATGCTTAAATGTGCATTATTTATACAAACTGTGGAGAAAATAAGCCTTGTTATTTGCACTGTTCCTTTAAGGAGGGGACAATCCTCTGTTGTATAGGTACATGCTGTACTGTTAGAGCTCTGATCTAAGATCGGTGCTACTGAAGATGTCTTTCCCAAGTCAAACGGTTTTGTAACACACATTTAGCTACAGTAACAACATTAAGATTGCTGTATTTTCCCAAATCATGACATGAGGAGGAGAAATTATCATATTTGAAATGCAAGGAAGGACTTTATGAGAATGCACTGAAAGCTAAATCAGGACTGCTCCCAGCTGTGTTTCCGGAGGCATGTTTATTCCACTACCTTACTGAATCACCTTGAGCAAGATATTTAACCTCCTTCTTTCTACATCTATCTCTCAAGAAAACAAAAATAATTCCTAAAACACAAGCTTTTCAAGCTGATCTAAAGCCCAGCAGAATGAATGATGGTTACTCATTTCTAAGGGTCTTGACTCCAGCCTTCAGTCAAATATTTAACTAGTTAATGTTTGTAACTATCAGTGCTGTTATTACTTTGTATGACTATAAATGACGTGGGAGGTTGTTACTGTTAGGTAAGCAGCAATGGACATAAGTGGATTTTTTATTTTATTTTATTTTTTGCATTGAGCAGCGCATGAACTGCTATAAACCTGTCCCAAATTTAAAATAGCAAAAATAGTGGTAGCTGTGCAGCTGTGTTCTGGCTTGTTAATATTCACGAATGGTATGAATTTGAATACATTAAAACTTTTCATTTAGACATCAAAATGTTGACTCACCTGAATCTTAATAATTTTTTTTTTCTATGGTTCATTTTGGCATCAAATGTGTAGCTCACTATTACAGTGATGGGTGGGGACAGCTCCTGGCATTTGGGTTCAGAGCAGCTAAGAGAGGGGATGTGGCAGATGTTATGGGCAAGCAGTAGCTCATTGTGAATTCCCCTCAAGAAAAAATGCTAAGCCTTTGATGAGCTCTAATAAATAATTAGCAGCAGATAAAACAAGAGTACTGCTGCCTCATGCTGAAAATGGGTTCTGAATTCACTCTCACCCTGTGCAACAGTCCTGGCTGCAGCAGGGATACTTCCCAGCAGCATCACGTGGCTGAGGTGAGAACTGGACTCTTTGCCTTTGTATTCAACTCCCGATGCAGAGCTCAGGGCCAGAGGTATAAAATACAAACTACCCATATACCTCACTAAATGTTATATGACTTGTTAAGCTTCAAAGGAAATGGTAATACTTTGAAATTAGTGAAAGGTGCTGTCCCACCAGTCCCTGTGGTCTAGAGTCACAAACTCCTTCTTCACATGCCCTCATATACTCCTTATGCACACACAAAAGGACTTATGTCCCTTGAGGATAATGACTACTCAGTATTTTGACTTCATGTGTCATTTATCAAGCAAAATATTGGCCTAGGTAGTATTTGCATGGTCAGCTTCTGTTCAAGATGAAGTGGATTGCTTCTGGCCAGTGTTTTTTTTAATTAGTTGCTGTATGAGTATCAGATGGATGACAGTTCATCGCAATAATCTAGGACAACTTCAGGGACAATTTTAAGATGTACATCTATTTTCATTTAATTTTTGTTTAATTTTATATTTTGTACTTGCATCCTACTAATATTTATTTCTTATTTTATATTTTTATTTCCCACTTTATAATCTGGTAATAAATGTAATTTCTGCCATTTTCACTGCATTTTATTTGCTGTTCCTCAAAGGCATTTTATATTTCAAGGGAAAGAATTACAAAATAAAACAAAATAAAACAAAGAGAGAATAAAAGAAAGAAAGAAAAAGCTCTGTCACTGTATTTCACCCAGCAAGAAAAAAGATATTAAAGAACTAGATAGAATTTTTTCAGTAGAAGTCAACAAAACTGCACAGTGCCAGAACACATGCATCTGTGAAACAGCTTCTCCTTTATGTTTGAAGCCACTCAGGAAGTCTGTACATGCTGCAGATCCTCTATAAGTCAATGCACACTACTGCAGCAAACCACTCTCAAAGGACCTGAAGCACTTGAAGCAACCATGTCAGGCTTTCTCTTGCTCTGCTTAGAGGGATTTCTTCCCTTTGGAACTGTGACTTCACTTTTTTATTTTTATATAGTTGCTATCTCAGCCTGTCAAATGCAAATGATTAATACATGATGATTAATATCTTCATGTGATGTCCTCTATACCAACAGTTGTTTTATTATCCGGTGTTTAAATATATAAATACTTTGACCAAATAAGGGCTTGTATCCTGGATACAATGCTACTGGAATAGCTCAGCTCACATGTTGAGGCTGAGGAGTTGGCTTTTTATCATCTCCGAACTTGGAAAGACAGTTCAATGCCTAGCCAGGTTTGAGACAGGGATGCAACAGAAAAGGAGGGTAAAGAGTGAAAGTCATTTATATGCCTTCATCTTTATGAACCCACTGTCCAAATCATGAGTAAAGGTAGACAATCAGGACTTTCAGAAGAAATTAAATCTCTGTCTTCTCTAAAATTACCAGAATTATGTATTTTCAACTTTTGTCAGAGCAAAAATAATGTAATCATGCTTTACGACAGTATCAGGCTGTTGAGGTTTGCCCTAACTAAGCAACAGGACTTCCTCTTTTTTCACACATTAGCTGATAGGCCTCCTCACAGCAGGCTTTCACTGTCAGCAGTTAAACAGTGGAACATCCTCTGATGCGGTGTGGTGTTCCATGTCGTACTGTTGGACATAACTCCCTTACACACCTGAGATATTTATGAAGTTTGCAGCACCTTAGCCATTAAGCATGTCTCAGAGTCATAAAATCACAGAACAGTTTAGGTTGGAGGGGGCCTCAAAGCCCACCCATTTCCAACCTCCTGCTGTGGGCAGGGCTGCCCCCCACCAGCTCAGGCTGCCCAGGGCTACATCCAGCCTGGCCTTGACACCTCCAGGAATGGGATACCCACAGACTCTCTGGGCAGCTTGTGCCAGCACCATCCCTGCCCTCTGAGTAAACACAATGGAATAGAAGAACGTATATGTATATTTATGTATATAATATGTATATATTATTTATACTAAGCTGTGCGAAATTTGAATTCAGTTAGTTTCTTCCTACCCTAGATAAGAGTATTCATAAGTGCAAACACTAAAGTTATTATTTGCTCATAAAATGCAGTTGCACTATCACCTGACTGCCAAACTGCAGCTAATATTTAACAGAGAGGTGACATGATAGCAGTGGTTAGTGGAGTGATCTCTGTTCACTTAGTCTATAAAGCACCTGCAGTGAAAGGCACTGTGTAAATGTAAATCAATATTATATTGTTTAAGTAATCAAACCCATGGAACCATTGTTTAAATAGGCTGGAGCTGCAGAGATGTTTATTCATATTTTACTGCTTAAATTGCCTGCTACATAAAATATATATGGAAAAAGTAAGCTTTCAGAAATATATAAAATTTGTTTTTTTTTTCCAGTGGTGAATTTATAAGCTAGAAAGCATGTAGTGCTACAGTAATTCTTAATTTGTGCAGATGTTTTTATTACTCTTAGTATGAAATAGCACAAAGTAAAACCAACCTAAATCTCTTATAAATCTAACAGCTGTCACAATTCAGATACACATTTTAAAGTGGCTACATCAGTGCTTTAATTCAAAACACAGCCGGCAGGCTCACTACAACCTAGGAATCATAGAATCATAGAATCACTAAGGTTGGAAAAGACCTAAAAGATCACCCAGTCCAACCGTTCACCTATTCCCAATAGCTCCTACAAGTTCTACAGAACACTTGCAGATTTATTCATCTTTTAAATTATGGTGCATTTATTAATTACACCAATGCCTGGTGGCCAATACTGAGAAGCAATCCCAAATCATGTAGGGCACACCACACATAAAAAAGACACAATCTCCATCCCCAGATGCCTTACTTAATTCAAGTGTTATGGTTATGTAATGCTGTGTCTTAATCATTTATGCCTATCCCTGATGCTGCCACACAATGTCTTCAAAGGAAGTCTTCCTATTAATTTATGTGGACTCCTTTAGCACAATATTTTCTAAGGTGCTCATCCCTATGAGTCAAGATAGCGCTGTCACCCATTACAGATGGGAAACTCAGGCCCAAAGAGTCTGTTTTCCAAATGTTCATATCTTAGTTCAATCCTATATTAAAATATGTTAAGCATACACATGCCTGAGTTCTACTGATGATTAATCTGATGCTCCTAAATATCTACAGTGATTTTTGAGGGGAATCCAAACTGAGCAAGATTGTACTCCTAACATTCCCAGAAGAGGCTTTCTGTGGTAGAGCAAGGCTTCCAGCGTCATGCCTAAGCCTAAGGAGAGGCATCTGGTTTTCTCCCATTCCCTTTCTCTCTTGGACATGGGTTATTCTTCCTAAATTCATGGCAGTTACTTGTTGTTTCCATCAAATAAGAAGTGATTTAGTGTATTTTGGAACAGACTTCTGGTGTTGGCTAAAATGGATGAGAACAATACACATTTACTGTCAGTCGTGCCTGCGTAAGAGTGATTTATATTACAAAAAAAATGATGAAAGAATGGAAAAGCTGCTGCATTTAAAAGCACATAAATCTCCAAGCATACCCATAGTCACTTGGCTCTGAGCTTTGCAAATTGTACTGTGCTTTTCTGGAAGGAAATCTTTTCTTCAGTGATTAGTTCACAGTGTCAACAGATAGTTCTACCTGTTGTGCTGTACCACTGGCTGCGGTGAGAACATCTTCCTTTGCTCTGGGTGGGGGGGAAGGAGGCTGGAAGTTCACTGAACCATCTGTTGTTTGCATCTCACAATCTCATAGCAAGTTTCAGTCTTTATGATTTCTAACAGGAGGCACTGGTGTGGGTGGGGAAAGGTTTTGAGAAAACAAAGATAATGACAAATGTAACTAATCTTACAGTTCATAGAATCAGAGAATGGATGAGATGGAAGGAACCTTTGGTGGACATTTGGTCCAAACTCACTGCTCAGGCACTGTTATCTCCTGCAGACTGTCCAGGATCATGTAACAAAAGCAGATAGCTTTTCAATATCTTCAGGGATGGATACTCAAACTCTCTGGGCAACCTGTGCCAGTGCTTGCTCACAGCAAGAAGCGTTTCCTGATGTTCAGATGGAGCCTCGTGTTTCAGTTTGTGCCTACTGCCTCTTGTCCTGTCACTGGACACCATGGAGAAGAGCCTGACTTTTCTTTTTTTCACCCTCCCTTCAGGTATTTATAAACACTGATGAGATCATTCCTGAGCCTTCTGTTCTCTAGACTGAACAGTTCCAGTTCTCTCAACCTGTCCTTATTTGTCAAGTGCTCCACTCTCTTAGACAAGGCCTTTTGCTGGACTCACTCCACTGCATCCATTTGCCTTTTGCCCTGAGGAGACTGGACCCAACACTCCAACTATTGTATCACTGGTGCCGAGCAGAGCACCTCCCTGGACCTTCTGGCAATACCCTCCCTAGCACAGTCCAGAATACCATTAGCCTATTTTTGGCAAGGGCACACTGCTGGCTTATGGTCAGCCGGTGTTCACCGTGGCCCTCAAATCTCTTCCTGCAAAATTACTTTCCAGCCTGGTGACCCCTAGCCCATACTGGTGCACAGGGTAGATTCCTCCTCAAGGGAAAAACTTTGAATTTCCCTTTGTTGAATTTCATGAGGCTCCTGTCAGCCTGTATATTCATCCTGATGAGGTCCCTCTGGATGGCAGCATGACCCTCTAGAATACCAAGATATTTTTCCTTTGCACCCAGTCTCCTAGAGAGAGGAATCTTAGTTCAGTTCTAGATTAAACTAATTGTCTTGATGACAGGATTAGTAGAAGCAGTGCAAGTACACGTTAGAGGAAAAGCTATATGAGACCACATATAGATCATAAAAGCAATGGTGTTTACCTGTGTATGAGATACAACCCCAGCAACCCCTCCTGTAGGATTTCTACCCATAAAGACACAGAAAAAAGCACAAAAGAAAAGCACTGAGATTCCACACATAGCTATGTGCATGTTCTATAAAAGAAGGCACGTTCCCTTTTGCCAATGGTAATGAAAAAATAATATATAGCACCCTAAGTTATTTATTTTGTGACACTTGTCACTGCAAGTTAATATGGACTGAACTGCCTTTCAGACATTTGCACAAGCTGCTGCTTCCTTCCCTTTGGGTTTATCCTTCTCACTGGGAAGCCACGTGGAACAAAGCACTGATTGAGTGCTGTGCTGATTAGATCAGTATCAGAAACATGCATCCAGCATTCACTGAAACAGAAAAAATCCTGCTGCTAGATTCAGCAGCGGTCCTGAGATGGCAAATACAAAGGACAGTCAGATGGAGGAAACAAGTAAGCAGAGTTCCTTCCATTAATACACAGTATGATGGCACTGGTGTCTCAAGAGCTAAACTTAAGATTCTGATACCAGCCCAGCAGTGAAATCAGGGGGCCCAACAGAAAATCACTGTCACCATTTCCCATACTGCTGAATTTTCATGGGGCCACTACATTCTATTATGGTCCCCTTTGAACCATCTGCAGCTCCTGCAAAAGGAAATCCAAAGCTGGGACGGAAGCAGAGATGAGACTGGTGAGAACATGATGACCAGGAAGCAGGTTAATACTAATGGGTAGGAAGAATTGATTTTCAATCCTTACCCATGAGTACAACATCCATGAAAACGCTGAGTGGAGAATAAAGCAAACTTTTGTCTTATGCATAAGACATTTCTTACTAGCAAGGCAGAATTGCTCTTAAGTGAGCACAGCCAGTGGCCCTCAGTCCTGGCACACCACTGTGTTTGAACATATATTGAATGCCATCATTTTAGTAGCTAAGGAGTATCACATCCCATTTAGCACATACACAACACTTTATAGAGCAGTAGAAATCTTTTTCCCTTGTGTTTTTCTACACACACATTGCAGTGACATGCATCTGACCAATTAAAGCAAAATAATTTTAGTTAATTAACGCTAAGGGACAATGTGATTCCCTGGCTGCAAGTCATAAGAGCTGGTTTTGATGCATATGAGTGCCACTGATTAGCTCTCAGATGCTGGACAATTCATTTCATCTTCCTATGCTTCATTTTCCCTGAGTGCAAAATATAGGGAAATAAAATTTGTTTTCTTTGTTGAAGCACTTTTGAGAGCTGTGAATGAAAAGAGCTACACCTTATCAATGAATCCTCATAAAGCCCCCATGGGAGATTTATGAAAATAGAAATGTCCTCACTGTGCTTCTGGAAAACCGAGCTATAACCAAGTAATGCAACAGGGTGAAAAACTCACTGAGACAGACCTTTATTATACCAGATCTGGCAAGCAAGATGGCATCTGCTTCTGCCCATGGCATCCAATCACCCTCTTCAACTCTCTCACCTCTGCATGACTTCACTTCTGCATTGCTTTATTTACCCTGGCTACCCACTTCACAGCAAATCCAATTACTTTCAATGCCTGACAACCTCCACAAGCTTCTTTTTTCTGTTGCAGGGATATTCTTGTTCACTGCACCAAGTTGACTATACATTTTCACATGACTATACACATCATTCAGAGTACTTTTTGCTGACCTGCACTGGGCTCAGGAACTTAAGTGCTTCTAAGTACTTTCCAAAAGTTGTGCCTTGAGAAAAACTAGCACATTTTCTTTGATTGCATTCCAAATATTCCAATATTACTTAAGTTTTATCTTATTCTGTTATTCTACTTAACTCTACATAGATGCTGGTCTCAAACTGACAGTTTCACAGTGTATTAGCTGAATCTAATAAGGCGAATAATTCCCAGCTGATAATTGATTTGATTATTTCAACATATTTTTATAATTGAGGAATTGAGTTTCCTCATATTATTTTCAATATTTGAATAAATACTCCTCTGACAAAGTTTGCTCTCAATTAGAATCAAAACCCAAACACCAGTGTTCTTATGACAGATCCAGTTTTTCTTCACTGGCTCCAGAAATCTTTCAAAGCTATATGAATTTATGCGTTTGGTTCTATTTCACCCTTTGATTCTGACTTCTGTTGGTAGCTAATATATATCCAAAGACAAACTTTAGCTCAATGCACGTGATGTGTGTGTACAGAAATAGAAAAGCTGGAAAGAGAAATAGAAAAGCAGACAAGGTTGGATTCTAGGGAATTGTCATTAGCACAAGTATGCTACATCAATCATTCCTCCCAGACAGAAGGAATAAGCAGTAACACTGTTTTTCTGTTCTGCTAAGCTGCTTCCTACCCACTTTTAATCCTGAAAATTTATTACTTCTTTCTTTTTCATAGTCAGGTTCACTGCAAGAGGAACACTTGTTTTACATCAGTAGAAGTCGAAGAAGTAGCAGAACTGGAAGAGCTTAATGAATTCGAGGCTTGCTTTCAAAATTATCTCTCTCCCTGTATTTAATATGGTATAAAACATTAAATGCTCCAAAGCTGTCAGCAATTACAGTTGTGCAAAATGGATGTTAGTGAAGTTAGAAACAAGCTATTTCAAATGGGTGAAAAATCTCTTGTTAACAACCGTGAATCTTGCATTGCTGAATAATTAGAGCCTGTGTTATGGGTAGACAGCACAAACTTCCTCCCACATTGCTTCCTCTCACAGTAGTATGTTTCAATTCCACCTACAGGAGGTGGAAAGGGAAACTTCTGACTACCAGTCTGTCAAGTTTTGCTTTCTTTGTTAAGACTTGTAACAAGGATACCAACTGAGGTACTATTATTTTTTCCTAAATTGGAAATGTTACTGAAAACAGTAGTCAGAGAATACTATAGAGACTTGTAATGTATGGTTCAAAACAGACATAAAAGTGATGAGCAGACCAACAGATAATCCAACAGATTGACAAATGCAACATAGATTTACCAGACACCATTAGCAGTACTACTGATGTCTATCTCAGCTCAAATTTAAATCAGTGACCAATGAGTAAAAGACTTTATATCCTGCTTTTCTCCTCCTGCCATCAAAGGACAAAATAGCAATTGCATTTACCTGTAGATCAGGACTTCATCATCCGAACAGTTGTACTGCAACTGATACATTTTTACTCGGGGGGCTGACTTGCTCACAGTCCACTTCACCAAAGCTGAGGTAGTGGTCACTTCTGACACCAGCACTGCCCTTTCTGGTGGGCCTTTTGTTTCCCCTCGATTAGACTTGCTGGAGCTGGTGATGTCTGAAAGCCTGGACTTTGGTGGGGCAGCTCGGCCTGTGCCATTGCTGAGATGAGGGAGCTGAACAATTGAGAGCTCTATTGTTGCAGTCGATTCTCCAGCAGCATTGGCTGCTATGCAAGTGAAAGTCCCATAATCCTTGGATGTAGTGATGAGAATATCTAAGGTGCCATTGTCATAGACAGATGTCCTTGAAGAGTTTCCGATGAGGCGGTCGTCAGGGGCCACCCAGTGAATGATGGGTGTGGGATCCCCAATGGCTTTGCATTTCAGTGTGGCAGTTTGCCCTTCTAAAACCAGCAACTTGTGAGTATGTTGTGTGATAAGAGGAGGCTCACAAACAAATTCTTCCTCCCGTACATACCAGAAGTACCTTCCCTTTAGACCCGGAGGAGAAGCACAAGTTTCCATATCGTCATCCCTGTCAAGTCTCCTCAACCACAACAGCTCACAGTTGCAATGTAGTGGGTTACCCCCAAAGCTGAGAGACAAAGGTGGAGAAAACGGGGTAACAGCTAATGGAATTACTTGAGATCTGGCAAAGATAGGGTCAGGGGGAAGCTTCTGAAGTCTGTTGGATGTTAGATCCAATCTGGCTAATTTCTGAAGATCTGCAAACGTCCCCTCCGTAATATAGTCTATCAGGTTATGATCTAAACTGAGCTGGTGCAAGTTTATCATCTTCCTTATAGATTCCCAGGGAATGCTTCGGAGGTTATTGTAGGAAAGGTCTAAGTCTTCCAACGTCAGCAAAAAATCCTCAAAGGCTTCATCAGAGATGCTGGTTAGCTGGTTGTTGTTTAAAATCAAGTGCTGAAGGTTAATTAAGCCTCTCAAAATATCTTCTCCAATGTCAGGCAGCCTGTTGCTGTCCAGATGCAAAGACCGAAGGCTCTCCAAGTCAGTGAAAGAGTACGGCTGTATATAACTGATGGTGTTTCTGGACAATGTGAGGTCAACGAGCCCAGACATATTGGCAAAATCCTGTCGGCTGATATTAATAATAAAGTTTCCCCCAAGTCGAAGCTCAACAGTCCTTCGATCTATGTCTAGCGGTACAAACAGCAGACCCTTCGAGGGACACAAAGTCCCAAGCGACTCAGACAGGTTCTGGCAGACGCAATATTTGGGACAAGCATTGACCATGACAGCCATTCCAAACACCAGGATGCCACAGAGCAATTTTTCCATGGTAAATCACGTAGCAGTACCTGCAAGAAATGGAAACAGTTACAAGGAGCGTCAGCAGTTATAATACAGGTATCCTTCATCCACGTTTTATCTGATATCTACTTCTAGAGACATTACCCAGTGCCTTCTCTCAGGAGTCGCTTTCATAGCAGTCAACACTCTGAGATAGCAAATTTAAGTGCTACAGCAGCATTTCCCCTAGTCACGCATTTGTTTCTTAAAAAATGTATGTTTGATTCCAAAACTGAACAGAATAGGAGTTCTTGGAACTTCTGCCAGCTAATAGATTATTACAACTATATTTTCTCTTTTTACAATTTTATAATTCCCACTAGGTAGAGGACAAATCTTGCTGTCATGTTGCAAGGTTTATTTAAAACTATGAAAGATTTCACTTGGAATAGCGCCTGCTTCTTTGAGGGTAGAATCTGTCTTATAGTAATTACATATTGATGCATAAAAATGTGGAATTAATCTTAGAGTTGAAAGAGCTGATTTTATGGATAAAAATAACTACATATTTACCCTTTAGTGATATAGCTCTTAATGACCACATAATTATCGGGCAAGTCCCGAGGCAAGCAAGTTCACTTGCCCACCCCTAATAAAATTCATGATAGGCAGCTTAGGAAGCAGAAATCTCTTGCATAATCATCACCTGGAATCACCCTATGCTCAGCCATCCTACAGGAAAGATGACATTGAATAACTTTAAAGAAAAAAAAAGCAGGGAAAACACATTACCTTGAGCTTCTTGCAAGCTTTTTGATTCCTGCATGCTCTCACACTACAGCCCTTCCTAATGTAATCACAGCAGAGCTCCTCATGATGCCCACAGCTGTGCCTTGTTTCCCACCCATTTTTTATTTGTGTCATTATCCCTTCCCCCCCCCAGCTCTTATACACTTTTCTGGCTTGAACTGTAAAGTATGTTTCTTTGAAAAATAAACAAAAAGTATTGGAGTTTCCTTCTCTGGAGTTACTCAGGACCTGTCTGGACACTTTCCTGTGTGACCTATTATAGAGAACCTTCGGCAGAGAGGTTAGACTAGATGATCTCCATAGATCTCTTCCAACCCCTGCAATTCTGTGATTTACAGCCTGACTGTGAGGGCTGACTGAGGCTGGGAAGAGCCCTCAACACAATAAGATGTGAGGCATCCTCATGCTTTTTCAGTTGCCTCTCCAGTGTTGACCTTCCAAGATGCCACTGCTGGATGCATGGAGGCATGACACAGAGGGCTGCACTCAGTACACATGTAGAGCTGATCTCCATGCCTCACAACTCACTGCCATTTCTGCTGAATAGCAACTATCCACCTTCTGTGCCTCCTGCTGCAGAGCAGCTCATGATGGTCTGTGAGTGGGCACGTGAGGTGTAAAGTCATGCTGTTCCTTGCATTCCGTAGGTGGTGGATAGTCTCCTGTGCCTAAGCTGGTTCTGTTACTGCTATACACGTGACAGGATAACATGCAAAGTCTCATAATAGCTTTAATAATTAACTAATATGAGGCCACTCAAATGTTAACAAACACATGACACTAGAGATGCATCTCACAAAAAAGTCACGGTGCCATTATTTATATTTCATCCCACTGCAGAAATGACAGTTATGCAGATGTTCTGTAAAATTAAAATAAGTTATGAAGGTCAGTTTTTAATCCAGTAGTAGCACACACCAAACAGAGAAGAAAATCTATCACCTCAGTCAGAGTTTTTTAACTCTTAAAACCACTTTTTCCCCCTGCCTGTGAAAGAAACGATAACATGAGCACTATGGGCCTGCACACAAAAGCAGCTGCTTCCTCTCATAGGTAAGATGGTTTGGTTTCTCCAGTCTAGAACATGGAGTAACACAGAGCTGTAGAAATGCAAGATGCTGTGTTTGCTGAACTATGCATGTTAGTTCAGTTATGCCAAGGTTTTCTGCATGGCGAGTGCTAGTAGTTATATAACACTAACGCTGTTCTTTAGGAGAGGAAAGGATCAGAACAGAGAAAGCATCTCTGTTTGCTGAACTCCGCAAACAAGATAACAGCAAAGTACTTTTAGAAAGGATAGCTTGGGAAGACTAATTTTTTACCTCCAGTAGTAAATAAAAGGCTACTGAATAAAATGTTTGGAGCTTAGCAACTAAGTTACTGATGCAAATCTGCAGCATACTTAGCAAAATGCTGTAAATATCCTTTATATTATCAATTAGTAGCTTACTAACAGGCAATTGGCTTTTTGAATTTTAATTATAATTGTGTTCTGCAACTTTAATTCAGCACATTACCCTACCAGCTGAAATTGTAAACAAAAAAAGCAGTTTAAAAGGGGGAGAAATAGATACAGTTAATTAGTAATAAGCCCTTTCATAGCTTCTCCTTTATCTACATTCCCACCCTCTAAATATCTATTCATAAATGTGAATGCACACTTAGGAGAGCAGTGTCTCCTTTAAGTGTCCCAATTCTCTAACCACATTTTTTCCGGATGCTGTTAAATATCACAGAGCTTTGGGGAGACAGTTGACTCTAAGTATCAGAATGAAAAGCATTTATAAAAGAAAAACTGGGGGGAGGAACAGAATTTAATTACAGAAAATAGGGACTGCAACACCGAGAGGAGACTATGAAACAGGAGATCTAAACGGCAAAGTAAGCCCTGATGGGGAAACCATCTGTGGATGGATTGAAAGCTCGTCATCTGTCTGTGTGCTCTTGCATGTGCACAAGAAAAAGAGGCAGAAAGCACATTATTTGCTTTTACCAGCAGAACAGATCAGTAACATCTGTACCAGGATGCAAACATCATTGCTATTGTCTCTCTGGTTGTTGAATGCATTTGGAAATATTAACGTAAATACTGTTTGTTCAAAGAGGACATTTCCAGCCTTTATCATCTGTTGCCAGCATCTGTACTTCAAGCTTCTGAGCCTGTCCTGACATGACAAAATCATGACACAGCAAATAGGATACACACCCAAGTGCTTACAAACAGCAGATTGGAAAGAACTGTTGTGGGCAGGATTCTTTAAAGAGAACATCTGGGGCTTTTGCAGGACAACTGCTTTTCTCTTTCCCCTCCAGAAAGGCAAAACAGCAACTCAGCAGACATGGAAAGAATATGGGAGTCTATTATATGACTGTCTTCTAAAATCTAGTCTCTACAACAGAGTCAAAGTAATTGGTAGCTGCCAAGAAGATGGATGTATAATAAAAATTGTTTTGATTTCAGTTCTGGTAACATACATACAAAGCAGAATATGAATTGTTAAGTTTAGGGTCTGTTTTTGCCAAGAGGTTTGTTCACCTTATTCCCAAACCTCCTGTGACCTGCAACAGGCCGTTAGTGATAGCCCTGTTATAAACTAACCATTCTGATTTACATTTAAAAGGTATCCATCAGCCAGCTAAAGTAGATTTCTCACAGCGAGTCAGTAAATCTGGCAGGGTTTCTCTCTCAGCCCAAGATGAAAAATAGTCTCTTTAGTCCTCTTATAACATATATTGGTATGAATTAATATGTGCAAGAGTCATAAACCTTGGTGTTTTGTATTCAAATTTTCCTCATAAAGATACAACTTCTGAGATTTGGCATCTCATTTCAAGAATGCCTCTGAGGCATTTTTTAATTCTGTATTCATTGAGCTTTGCATATAAATTCCAATAACCTTTGCATACCATAGCACCAAGTACAAGGCAGCTGTCAGACAAGAAAGGTACCACTGCAGTATGCGGGCTAGGAGAAAAAATAAATACAAAGAAGGGTGGATGGGTGGTGGTTCTCATTAGTCTATCTCCTGTTACACAGGGATACAGCTTCCCAGGAATGTATGGATGAGTTACACTTTTTTCAGGTTTGTAGGTGCTCTTGGAAGAATTGCATTTATTTTTTTTCCTAGGAGCCACTCTTTTCCTCTTAACCTTCTCATCTCTTATCTCTGTATTCATTGTATGTCTTGTCACTCTGTCTACCCTGTAGCTGCAAAGTTTGATGGACTGCAGTGATGGATGAAGTTTTCTGGGTATTCTCTGAAGCAACTGACAGCCTGTAAGAGGGGATTGAGTCATGTCAGGGAAAAAATTATTCCTTAATCCTTTACATTTCCAATAACTATGTGGTAGAGGTCTCAGTATGCCCTGATACATACAGTTTGTTTATGTCTGATTCACCTAGTGATGAATAACACCTCTGCATCAGAATCTGTCCTCAGGACTGTACAGATTGAAACAGTTTTGTTGTTCAGCCACTGCTAGTTTCATGAGTATCTCTGAAGCTGTTTAGGTGTTGAAACTTGGTCGTACGTAGGTGCTCACAGTTTCACAATTAGGACACTAACACTAATTTTATTTATCTTTTGTCTTTTGTGTTCACCTAGGTTTTAGCATTCCTCTGGGGGTAAAGCTGCATATCATCAGCTGTACAGATGTACAGTGCCATTTAGATTTTAGCTATGCCTTTTTGGGAGCTGGCTTTATAATTATACTTTATAATAATTAGTAGCATTAACATGTGAAATTCTTGCTTTCTCTAGCTATCCTACCTTTCACAGAGAGGAAACATTTACAAACACACACTATTTCAGGTATTCGTGGCTATCCTTAGTAAGGTCGACCTGCATTAATTTGATCAACATTACTTCCATAGTGTCTTAGTTTCAGCTGGGATGGAATTGTTTTCTTTGTAGTGCCTGGTGTGATGTCATGTTTTGATTCTAGGGAAAAACAATGTTGATAAAACACCAATGTTTCTATTTGCTGCTGAGCAGTGTGGTACAGAGCCAGAGACCTTCTCAGTGAAGGACCCAAGAAGCTGGGAGGGAATAGAATTAGGACAACTGACTTAAACTGGGCAAAGGGATTTTCCATACCACACAACATCATGCAGAAGGAGTTCTGAAGTAGGGGTAGGAGTTAATTGCTCTCTCTCCTGCTGTTCAGGAGGCTAGCGGGGCATCAATCGAAGGGTGGTAATAACTATTATCATTTTCCTTTTCTCTTAGTAAATAGTT